ATACACACATAAACCGTGTAATACACTGTATTTTCCTCATATTATGTCAATGGCAATTACTGTGTTAAATAAAGACAAAATACTGGTTTAAACTGGGCTCACAGCCTGTCATATTCTCTTCTGCAAATAAGACGTGGCATTTCCATCTGAAGGCTGGTTTGTGTAATTACAGACGAGTGGAGCAGCACCAGCGTATATAGAGAAAAATATCACAGCCATTAAAACCTGTCATTTGGTTTCAGATGAACAGTTTCCAGATGGTAGTTCACCAATTACCCAGAGAAGAGCAGAGCGGGTCCGTCAGCGTTCACACAGACAGGTAAGAGAGAGATCGTAATGACCAACCCTACTTTATAATAGCTCTGAGTCTGAATCTATTCTAAGAGCATCATTACACTGCGTTTATGCAGCATTGCAAAAAATAAGGCCTTGAGTTGCTTATTGCTTTCATAAAGCAGCAGCATGAGCGTTATGATAAAAGACACAGTTGTGCAATGAATAGTTAGGCTTATGTTCATTTATAAATATTATTAATAATTCTGAAGAATAAAGGATAAACAATTGTTCTGCCAAGTATTATGATTCATTAGGCTATAGTTTATTTCCATTTTATGACAGCTTCAAGCATCACTCTTCCAATCAGAATCAAAAGGAGTCAAAACGGTTCATTTTATATCTAAAACTATCATTATTATTAATTATTAATGAGTTTGTTTGAACTTTTTACACCCTTTGACTAAGTTTCGCCATCTTAAAATCATTGACGTTAATTTAAACACACAACCGTCCGTCTTTCTCTGACAGAAGTGAGCATCAGTGTTTGGACATCAGCTGTGTGTCCTCGTCTAGATCTGACCTTTACATGACTGATAAATCATGTGTCTGAACCAAAACATCTCAAATAAACCACTATCTGTAATCTCTAATGCACAAGTGATAACATACATCTGTGTTCGGCTTATGAGTGACTATTTTCTACATTTTACATATATATATATATATATACAGTATATAATGTATAGTGTGTGTGTGTGTGTGTATATATATGTACACACACACACACACACACACACACATATATATATATATATATATATACACTGCCATTCAAAAGTTTGGGATCAGTAAGATTTGTAATATTTTTAAGTCTCTTCTGTTCACCGAGGCTACATTTATTTGATCAGAAATACAGAAAAAAAACAGCAATATTGTGAAATATTATTGCAATTTAAAATAACAGTTTTCCATTTGAACATAATTTAAAATGTAATTTATTTCTGTGATCAAAGCTGAATTTTCAGCATCATTACTCCAGTCTTCAGTGTCACATGATCTTCAGAAATCATTCTAATATGCTGATTTATTATCAATATTAGAAACAGTTTTGCTGCTTAATATTTTTTGGAACCTGTGAAACTTTATTTCAGGATTCTTTGATGAATAAAAAGTTAAAAAGAATAGCATTTATTCAAAATAGAAACGCATTAAAAATCTTACTGATCCCAACATATATATACACACACACACACGTATACTTAACCATTTGTCTAACGATCTAGCAAATGTAAAGGAGTTTTCTGAATATATTCATTCACACAATATTTCACTGCAATAACCAACAAAAATCCAATCGTCAGTATTTTCACTCCTTTTCTGAAGCTTCTTTCACAAGTTCAGATGCAAACAGACATTCAGAGTTCAGAAATGAATACAATTCACCTCAAATTGGTTATGAAAATTCAGTTCTGTGTTATTTATGAGCTGTTGGTCTTTATGTGTTAGTCGTGTGTATAAACTGACCTGCCAGGATGGCTTTTCCAGGATGGGTGAGTTTGGCTTTGACCGTCATCTTCAGTCACTGTTTCATCTGAGAGCAGCGCGCGATCCGCCGATCATAGACTGATGACAAGAGACTGCTCTCAGCCAATCAGCGGGCAGATCGGCACACAGGGGCGGGGCTCGCATCTCGCTCTCTCTCTCTTTCTCACTCACTCTCTCTCGGCGTCACGCCCTCCAGAAACGAAACTCGAGTTAAGGTGGATCTCCAGCCTAAAACTCCTTCACATCATCCGACTGACAGAAAACAGCTCGAGGTTTTAGTTTTAAATAAAAAAGAAACAAGAAAAAAATCAGCAGTATGGAGGCTCAGCCTGCAGAAATGAAAAATAAATAAATGTGGCAATATTTAAATATGAAAATGTAGACATGCGGAAATAAATGCATATAAAAATAAAGGAATGTATAAATAAAAAATACATTAAAATACATAAATCAATAAATGAAAGAATAAAAAAGTGATAACAAATTTAAATAAAGAATCAGTACTGAAAATGATAAAATAAATAAATTTAGGACTAAATTTAATAATTTGTATTTGTTTTATAAAGTCATTTATTCCTTTATTTTTCCATTATATTATTTATATGTATTTATTCATTTATTTTTAATTACATTTTTTTTTTTTTTGCAGGTTTGGGCCTCTATACATCAAAGATACATGTATAATCTGTAAAATCTGTTAAAACTCTAGTGTGATCAATATAAAGGAGCTGCTGTTACTGTATATTATGCACTAATTTTAACTAAAAGAAAAAACACTGTGCACTATGGTAACACAATGCTTTTTTTTTTTGTACTACAGTGCTAACATAGTTTTTTTCTGGACATAGTTTCTATGAAGTATTGTAGAAATATATATTCTGATTCCGTCACTGTACTACGGAAAATGAAATTGGGAATATAACATTACTTTCTGGAACATAACCATTGAATGCATCATAACTCTGCCACTACAGTGATGCTGAAAACCAAACTAATCCCAAAATGTTTTTGTATCAGTGATCTTTCTGCTACACTACGTTTTGATCAAAATTGAGCAAGAACCCAGACAAGAACATGCCGGAAAAACATACAAAACCCACATTAAACAGGAACAACGTGAGACACTGTGACCTGAAGTGACTTGAGAGTGAGACAGAATGAACAGCACATGTAAACTTTATTCTCTGTGACTCTTCAGTCTAAGGAGTCGCTACACACTGAGCAACCCAAACATCACTTTTTGTATTTTTTGCATATTGTTTTCCTAAAAAATAATGTCTCTTTTGACTACAACATTATATAGACAGTGCATATGGCTTGCAGTAACATGGATGATGAACAGCAGCAGAAAAAGCTTCAATAATCATGCGCAAGTAACAGCTACATCAAGCTAGCGTGAAATAAACAGACGTTTGGTTGTGCTCATCACTGATGGTGAGATTTTCACATTGTAAAACTGAAATTTAGTACCGCTTGAAATGTAAACAAAGTTAATACTGCAGAATCAAACGATTAAAAACAGACGAGAATGGACAAAAGAACCAAGAAATGAGTTTGTCACTACAAATACTGTACTGTTCACCCTAACTAGTGTCGCTCGGTTTAGTGTCCTTCCTCTCATCATCAGCGCGATCTGATCAGATTCAAATGAAAATATAAGTTAACGAGCAGCTTGTTGAGCGGTGAACGCAACACACGTATGTAAGGAAGTAGCGCTGGATGTTCATTTGATTGCAGAGATGCTTCGTCATGCTTCCTGAATGCAGCACAGGCACACGATTCCCAGAATTCCTAGCGGGAAAATTCAAGGCTGAAGGTTGAAGCCGTACACCGGAGGAGTGAAACCGTAAGCTGGGAAACCCGTCTGAGGAGTGACGTGTGTTTGACTGCCACTCAGCATCAGCTGTTGTCCGACACAGACACACACACTCACACAGACACTCACACAGACACAGACACAGACACACACACACACACACACACACACTCACACACACACAGACACA